CGTTGCTTATCGGATGCAAGCATGGCGGCATCCATTGCCATTTCAACTTCTCGGATCCAGAGGAGAAGGTTCTCTCCCTCCTTCCCCTCGAAGGTCTTGACACTTAAAACAAGTGGACGAGCCTTTGGCTCTGCATCGGGCACAGGTACCGGGATGTACTGTGTAGGCGCTGCTGACGCTGCCTGGTCATGGACCTGCCCGAGGAGCGTTGCCTCATAACGCATAAAGGCCTCAAGACGAGCATTTAGAACCTCGGGGCCTTGGGCCAAAAGGGCCTCGATTTGATCAGGCCCGACGAACGCAGATAGTTTATCTAAGGCGAGTCGTTGTGCCTCAGAGAGGTGATTTTGATTCTCCATTCTCACAGAGGGTCAGTCTTTAAAGACTCAGGTGTAGGATTGACTACAAGTGCTACCAAGTGTAGCGGAGCTGCACAGCTCTTTAGCCAGAGGAAGACTTTCGGCTGGAAGCCTCTTAGTTCGAGAGAACTAAATAGAGTTAAGGCTAAAAGCCACTTAGTTCTAAGGAACTAATTAAACGACTGAAAGTAACCCTGTTCTAAGGAACTAGGAGAGAGACTTTAGTCAGTCAAGCAATAAGCTTAAGGTTCAGAGAACCAACGCACAGGGTGCAAGAACAAGCTAGAAGCTTAGAGGTTCAGAGAACCAACGCACGAAGTGCACAAGAGAACAAGTCAGAACGACTTGTGATCTTAAACTCAAAAGGAGAACTGATTTTATTTATGCTTTAAGATTTTATGAATAGTCCTACTCTAAGTACACTACACTAGATTAATTACTATAATAGTAATTATTATATGCAGACTTTGCTATTGGACGACGTATCGTCTAAACATCTGTGTATGATGTACTTAGTACAGCGTTATCGATTATCGAATCCTAATCGATAAGATACGGTATTACCGAATACCGTATCTTTAACGCTTATACTTAATACCTCTCTAAAGAGAAGTATCATAATGCATTATATGCAATACAAGGGGAGTTTAACCGTAAACTCCCGGAAAGACGCTACAACCGTCGTGTAACCCCGTTACAGAATGTGTATCTCATGATGATTTTACTCGCATGATAGGCGACAACACCACAGAAGTATCGTAAAAGCTGGAGGTTTTATTATTCTTGCCACTCTGTTGGGTAGAGAAGACGATGCAATTTGCTCGATGCAAAAACAGATTTTCCGATCGGAGGTAGTCTAGGCTCATTAGGGATATACCTATCTAGCCAAGACACACACCTTGAAGTATTTGTTTGTCTACAGGATAGTAAATGCGTAATACACATATTGACCACTACTTAAGTCCCAGTACGCTTGCTTCTAGATTCTATCTGCATTAGGAGCCCTCGTAAGTTGCGTCTGCGCAATTCCTCTTGATGCGATGGAAAGCACCAACTACGAGCGTCATTATTCGAGAGGTTATCAGAAAGCCAGTGTACAGTAACGATATCGGCCATCTTCGAACAGCATTTCGAGAGGTCTCAACAGCCATAGGTAGTCACGACGATTCTGGTCGCAGTACTATTGATTGATGGGATTTCAAACGTTCTTGATCGTTGCATTCCAATCAATCACGCCGTCTTCGCCAACCCACTTTCAATGTGCAAAATGCAGAAAGACAAGTACATCATGCTGCGAACCTATTCAGGCGAGACCAATTACACCAAGTATCTTCCGGTGCACTGTAAATCATTACCCCACGTGTGCCGCCTTATCGATGAATATCTGGTGGACTCTATAAATCCACAGGTCCTTCAAGACGCATGTGAACATGGAGCATCAAGTGACGACCTCGAGTTCATTCGGAAGAGGACAGCTCCAAAATGGACGAATGTGGTAAAAGCAGCAGCTAGAGGCGGATATTTACACGTGTTTGAGTGGATGTTAGAACGGCAAGACGGTTGTTGTCCGTGGGAGGTTGATCTTAGAGATGTTCTTGCAGAGGCTGCTGCACATGGTCATCTCGAGCTTATGAAGTGGCTATATAGTCGAGGTATTGACAATGTTGGCAACAAAGTGTTTGATCGAGCTGCTACTGAAGGACATCTTTCGATTGTGCAATGGTTGAACAAACATACCAGACTTACTGGACCTAGTGATATACTTAGTGGTGCCGCTAGAAACGGTCACTTGGAAGTTGTGCAGTGGTTATACGAGAACGTTTGTAGGGAACAGATGGCATCAGCAATGGCTTCAGCCGCAATAAATGGACATCTAGAAATACTACAATGGCTACACCAACAAGTTTGTTGTGATGGTGTGTGCACCACTAGTATCATGGATGTGGCAGTCAGTGGCGGTCACTTCGATGTCGTCAAGTGGTTGTTTGAGAATTGCAACGCTGGCTGCTCCGAGCGCGCTGCTGAAACGGCTGCCTCTAACGGAGATTTGGCCATGCTGCAATGGCTACATCAACATTTTCGTGTGAAATGTCATTCGAATGTAATGGATCATGCGGCAATGGGGGGTCAGCTTCATGTACTCAAGTGGCTGCACGAACAAGGATACGATGGATGTACAGCGAATGCGACGGATGCGGCTGCAGAACACGGACGTCTTGATATTGTGCAATGGCTGCACGAGAATCGAAATGAAGGATGTACGATAGACGCAATGACTTGTGCTGCAAATGAAGGACACCTGCATGTCGTCAAGTGGTTGCACGAAAACAGATCCGAAGGATGCGATGATTCAGTTATGGATTGGCCAGTCTGCCGCGGCCATTTGGAGGTGGTCAAGTGGCTAGTCGAGCACAAACCGGAAACGTGTCGTGACCATTTGATGGAGAAAGCTGCTTGGCACGGTCATTTGGATGTGGTTGTCTATTCATATGAAAACACGAGGCAACAAGATTGTGATTTGGTTCTAGGTGCTGCCGCTAAAGAAGGCTATGTGAAGGTAGTTATCGCGTTGATGCAACGTCAATCCGGAACTTTCCGACGTGGGACCTACTCGTGCTTCCGGAGGCTGTTAAACCGGCTTTCAAATCAGGGTGCAACTCCATCTTCTCCATTATGGAACGAAATATTGAACATGCTTGAGCTCTTCCACGGTGATGAATTTATTGCAGGTGTGTCCACACTGCTTGAACTAGCACTGCAACGTGGATATTTGGTCATGGCTCGACAGTTTTTCGAGCGCAAAAGCGAAGAGGACAAGTGTCAATATGTTGCTGATGCTGCCGAATATGGCAACGTCGTATTAATGAGGTGGCTAATTGAGAATGGGGCCCCATTGAGCGTTCATACAGCGTTCTCTTTTGCCTCAGATCCCATGATCAGAAACAAAGGCGTCGAAGTTACTTGGTGGTTGTCTGAAAGCGATCGCGTGGTTTTTATTCGCCACTCTTTACAAAACAATCGCCGCAAGATGGTGCTGTGGGTACTAGATAATACCGTTTTCGAGGATGAGACTTCACAGAATGCTATTCGAAGTGCTCTCAAGATGGCCGATAACGCTATTGTACACTGGCTTTTTGATAATCTCTCGAAAGATGACGCTCGCAGTTGGTGTTTTCCATCGCATGAAGAAGAATCGAGCGCTGGGACGCAAGTAACGAAGGCTGCTAATGCAGACGGAAGCTAGAAGCGAGCGCACTGGGACTTAAGTAGTGTATTTTGCGTTTACCATTCTGCATCAAACAAAAAAAACAAATATGTGTATTGTAACAGGGCATCTAGTTACACGTAAACATTAATTGATATACTTAATGTTTGGTCTAAAAGTATCCATGATTACTTTTCACCTGTCACTTGGGTGCGATACACAAATGTGATCCACCCTCGTGAATGTGATATCCATTGATGGATTGACATGGGAAGGGATGACGCTAGTTGAAGCTAGGATCGCGACGTCCCCAAAAGGACGTCATTAGCAAGCTTAAAAGTACATTTAGCTCGCACGTCAGGATACGCTTCTAAAGAGTCGCGTACTATATAAGTAGCCAATCAGTAGTTAAGTTTATATTTAATTTTATAATTCATTAAATATAACTCAGTCTTGAATTTCCTAATCGCAAAGCACACGCACGAGAGACTGTAAGTTCTGCGTGACGTCTGTGACTTCTTGTATAGAAGTTCGTTGCACTCTCGCTTAAGCGAGAGGCAACGAGTGGTATACTGCGGTTGGTCGACTGCTTAAGTAGTCGACCAACCGCATATCCACCCTCGCACGCGAAGGTAAAACGGTATAACCGCTTCCTCGCTTGTGCATAAGGTGTGTGCTAAGTAGTACAAGGCAACTTCGTAGAAGTGCCCGTCTACACTTGGTAGCACTAGTAGTCCTTCCCACGACCCGTCTCTCTGAGCGTGCGTGTGGTTGACATGGTCCTTAATATGGACTGGAGTGACTTCCCTCACCTCTCCCAACATCATAGGGAGTTGGAAGAGCATATGGCGCAGGGACATGGTGAACAAACCCTGGTCAATCTCTTGCATTGTCCTCCTGAGCAACATGTGGCTCAGTTGGAGCAATTTGAGGCGTTTGTGCTCGGACAGCGTAGAAACGCGTCCGAGGTAAACAGCCAAGCCACCGCTGAGTCCATCACTAAGACTCAGGATGAGCTTAGGCTTGAGCAGGCACGGAATGAGGCGCTCAACAGAACTGTTGAGATGCTCTCTGCCCGGCCTACTCAACCGAGGCCCATTCTGATGGACCCTTCGAAGTTCGATGGAACTACCCCTCACACGATTTTTCACTGGATATTAGCAGCTGAGCAATGTGGAGTGGCGCAGCTCATCAAAGACGACACCAGAATGGTGTCGTATGCCATGTCCAACTTGCGTGGCAAAGCGTCAGAGTGGGCATACTCTGCGCTGATGGCAAATGCTGATGCGTTTCCATCATGGGAGATCTTTAAGGCAAAGATTCGCGCCATGTATCAGTCGCCTAACAACGAAGTGTTGCTTATGGCGCGCTTCTTTGGAGCACGACAGGCGAAACGCTCTCTGCAAGAATTTGTGAAGGAGATGCGTTCGCTGTCGGCGTCCATCAATGGGGAACCGATACCAGAACGTATTAAGGTGGCCACGTTCATGAATGGACTTAGGCATGGCCCATCGCGTCAGGCCCTTTTCAGAAAGGTGCCAGCGACGATGGAATAGGCAATAGACATTGCCTAGTTGAGGAGAAATCCTACAACAGCGCCTCGGCGACAGCCTATTACAGGTCGTCGTCCGAGAAGTCTGATGCCACTCCTATGGGGTTAGGTAATGCAGACGTGATCTGCTACAAGTGCGGCAAGCGAGGCCATATGATGGCTCGCTGCTATGCCAAAGTAGCTGCTGGTGCTAAGGCAGCCAGCAAAAGGTCTCCCAACCCGAAGGGAGGTGCGAAAAACCAGCGTGCACGACGCACGGGTTCAGCACCTGCCCAAGATGGGTCGGAAAATGCGGGAGCGCAGTAGGGGCGGGATGCCCTACTGTCGCGGACTCTGAAGCTACCCCTAAGTTCAGAGTGATCGAACAAATGGGTAGCATAGTCCCTGAGGTTCCGAAAGGTCGGACCTCAACCCTTTTGGTCTATAGCGCTGGAGTACGAGGCTATGACCAAGTGATGACCCTTCTCGTGGATTCGGGTGCATCACAAAACTTTGTAAAACTCGCGTCTCTGAAAAAGAGTCCGGCGAGTTATGAGTCGCTTTACCAGGATGGCAAACGAGAAGAGGCGATCGTTCGTTTAGCGAAAGGCGCGCTCGTCAAATCGGAGGGAGCTCAAGTTGAACTCGCCTTCAGTTTCAGTGACTTCTCTTGCAAAGAGAATTTCACAGTGCTAGGTATGGAGAGTCCGAATGATCTCATCCTAGGCATGCCTTGGTTGGCTAAATGTAACGGGATAAGGACCCGTTACCGTCTTACACTAAAAGGGCGTTGAGGAAGCGCTCTTAATTAACTTGTAAATATAACTCTGTTTTATTTTGTTTTAGTTTTAATTCGCAGTAAGTGCGAATATGTTCCCTAGCTCATGGGAACCACTCAATATGGAAGTCAATTTATTATTGGCTAATTATTGGGTCTGGCACCCCAATAATAAACTAATAATAAATGACGCACAGTATCCGCTAATCGGATACTGCCCTATGCCTACTTATGTAATTATGTATTAATCCTATAACTACTTGTGTAATAGGTTGCCCCCATTACCTCACCTCCCTCTTTAAGTTGCGCTTACCTCAACGTAAGCGCGAATCGCAGAAAGTTTCTTCTCTACCAACGGCGTAACTCCGAACCTGCTCAGTTAGACTTAACTGAGCAGCATGGACCCTAGGCGTCCACGAAACAATGTCTCTGACAACCAGAACTGGGAACACCAAGCGACAACCCGTAGATAGCAGGCGCCGCAGGTCATGGATGGACTTGAACCGTGGCGCTTGTATGGTCTTGAAGGTGCTGTCGAACCCGAGCCACTGGCAGTCATGAAGGACCAATTCACGCGATACCGTACAGTGAGAGGCAAAGAGACGAACAACGCATATACCGACGATGTGTTTCAGAGACCCTGGTGTGCCTTCATCAGGCGCTGGAACGCGAGCCGACGTGAAGGAACGTCCTTCACGTCCTGGCTAGATGGTCGTGAGGAGCGCGTGATAGACAAGCTATTGGCGACCTGCGCCGGCGCATCTGTCGTATGGCTTGTGACGAGTATCACCTTTGTTACGTCCACATTCGTGAGGGATGTCCAACGTGCAACGTGGGCAGATCGCGACCGGTCCGGCAGGAATGGGACGACTTGGTGTGTGCGCGAGGCATGCCCGATCATTTTCGTCCATGGATTTCCCTGTTATGAGAGAAGCCTTTCGGATCTCCAGGTGTCCGAGCTACGGCTAGTGAGAGCGCGACCTTACGATCGCCGAGAGCATTCACGTAGCCGAGGTCGTCAACCGTATCATCCGTATGCTCCCGAGCCTCGTAATAGGTCTCGGTCTCGGAGTCGCTCGGAAGGTCGTCGTGGTTTCGTTGCTCGCGAGCATTACGGCTCCCGAGATCGGGGATGGAACCAGCAGCGTCGGTCGCGATCACCATCTTTCTACGGGACTCATAGTCCTCGACCACGTCCGGGACATCTTGGGACAGCGTACTCGATGGCTCCCATGTATCGTTCGCCGGGGAATGTCCCAACCAGCGAACTCTGTAATGTTTCTCGACACGCTTCTTCATGGGCGCCGAGTTATTACTCGGCGCCTAGGGCTTGTGATCCTCGTTCAGTTCGGTCGACAATCCAGCGTCGCGCACCCGATGCATCAACTAAGGGAGGAGGAGCATCACGACGGAAGACCTCTGGCGATGAGCGCCGATTTTCGCAATCGGGCGCCTGTACAGTCGAATGATGAGCTGCGCCTACGTCAACTTGAGACGAATGCGTTCGGAGGGCCCCAGCAGATCGAGTCTGCACGCGTTCGGGCAGGACTTGGTCCCAGTCTTCGTCAACGTCGTCGTCAAGGGATGTCGGATTTCGAGCCGGCACAGAAGAGCGGGGAAGATTCGAAGGGAGATCCGCCGGCAGTTAAGCCTTGAGGCGCCCGACGTAGAACGTCGGGTGCAAACGCATAGATGTAGGTATGTCTAGCGTGTAAGCGTCACCATGCACCTTAACAACCCGAGATGGGTCAATATATCTTGGCGCTAACTTATTAGCGCCCAAATTCGTCACTGAGGTGTTTGGTAATCCACTTGTTGATAATAAGACTCTGTCACCTTCTCAAAATATCAACATATTCTTTCGACCTCTTCTGTCTGCATTCTCTTTTTGCTTGTCGACTGCCTCTTGTAATGCTCACGCACAAAACGCGTTATTCCTTGTCGTAATAGTAGAAATTCGGTTACTGCAGCCGAACTTACAGGCGACGTATGTTCTTTTGGAGCAAAATTGGCAACGGGAGACGCGATGGAATGCATCGCTTCAAGAGTCGATATGCCGTTGGCCACAAAATCACCAGTATTAAATGCATCGGCAGCAACCTTATGCGCATCGTAATCAATCATCAATAGTTTCGGCGCAATGTCATCGGTAGATACTCCTCCACCAAGCTTGGAGACAGGGTGTTCCAAAGCTGAGAGAGCAAGCAGCGCCGGAACGCGAGGATGCCTCGCGTTGTTAACGAAAAAGGGCGTCAAACCGGTTGACGCATGGATAGCATTGTTGATTGCAAACTCTGCAAGTGGGAGAAATGAACTCCATGATGAGAACGATGTTGAATAACTGCGCAAGACATCTTCGAGCACTCTGTTCACACGCTCCGTTTGCCTATTCGTCTCTGGATGGGCCGCCGTAGACATAAGCAACCGCGTGCCTAATAGCTGGAATAATTCGGCCCAGAAAGCCGAAGTGAAACGCGGGTCACGGTCCGAAACAATAGATTCTGGCAAGCCGTGATGCCTATAGATAAGATCAATGAAGATCTTCGCTGTCGTCTCCGCCGTAGTGTTGACGGAGACCGGAGCAAAATGCACCATTTTGCTGAATCGATCCACTAGAACCAATACGCCCGTGCGTTTCCGCTCATCCGGTGGAAGGCCAAAGATAAAATCCATGCTGACCGAGCGCCAGGCTTCCGTAGCAATCGGAAGCGGACGCAGTGGGGCTTGTGA